AACCGGGCGATATAATTTCAACGAACTTCACCACGGCCCCCGCTGGGGTAGCCCCCTCCTGCCGGTGTTCAAATCCGAAGCGCCATTCCCTTCAGGCGAGTTATCCAGACTTGTTTGACGCATGTTTCGGCGGCTCTGCGCTGTCTGTGTTTGCCTCTTCTGACGAAAATCCGGACTAATCGACGCTCCCAACACTGCCGAACTGATGCTAAAACCAGATCTCCGCAACGTACAGCAGCCGACATCCATCCCCAGACATTCGTCAGGCTCAGTTGCGAACCCCATCTCCCACTGGACCTAATGAACCAAAGCCAGGACAGAACGCGACTTTTCCCTCGCTCGGGTTCTGGCTCCTCCTGAGCGCCCCGTCATCCCTGGCTTCGGCGCCCCTCCTCCGAGCGCTTCTTGTGCCTCCTCTCCGCCCCTTCGGCCTCACCCTCTCCGGCTCGTGGCTGCCTACCCCGTACCCCCCGCGCATCTCGTCGCGACGCCGCGGCTCCGCTGCCGTTTGCGCTTCTTCTTCCTCGCCCCTGCCCTCCACGTGCTGCCCTCATGCTTCCGCGCCCCCTCCGGCGCCTGTGTCTTGCTTACCGAGTTTGTGCTGCTCTTATCTTCCCGGGTCCGCCCTTGCCGCCCTTTTTCGTAGCGAGGCACGCGCCCCCCCTCCCGGCCGCCGGTGCTGGCGCGCGCGCCGGTTTGACGTGCTCGCTGCTTTGCCGCTCTTTTTTTTTCTTCTTGGCCGCGGTCTCCACTCGCCTTCCGAGGTGCATGCACCCGCGTCTCCACCCCACCACTTTGCTGCCTCTTCTGCCTGACCACCCTGACTTTTCCCTTCGTCCCCTCTGCCCCTTCCCGCGCCGCCCTGCGCTTTCCCCCGCTTGCGTCGTCCGTGGGCTTCGTCCGCCTCTCGCGCCCGTTGTTTGTCCGTTTGCCTGTCTTCCCCTCTCCTTCGCTCGCTTCCCCCCGGTCTCTGCTGTCGTGCTGCTGCTGTCCTCATGCTTCGTCTGCCTGTTGCCCTGGACTCTTTGCGCTCGTCGCTGCCTGCCCTTCCCCTCGCGTGTCCTTCCGTTCCTTGGTCCGCCCCTACGTCCCGCCCCTCTTGTTTCACTCCCTCCCCTGACGTCCTGCCGCTCGCTCTGTCTTCTGCCTCTGCCGTGCTTCGTGCGCTTGCCTTCTGTTTCTTGCTTCGCCCTGCTCCTCCGTTCTTCCCCCCCCGCCGCCTCCTCCCGCCGTCCTCTTTCCGCTCCTCCCTCTTTCCTGCCCCTCCGCCTCCCCGTCTGCCCCCGCCTCCGTTCCCTGTCCTTGGCGTCCCCGCGCCCTCCTGCCTCGTTCCTTTCCTCTCTTTCCGCCTGCGTTTTGCCGCTCTCCGGTGTGCTTCCTTTGGGCTCCGCTTGCTCCCTTGCCCCGCTTCCCCCCTGCCCCTTCTGTCTGGTCGCCTGGCTGTTCGCTCCCCCGCCTGCCTCTCCCGCTCGCTCGCCTGTGTTCTCCCCTGCTCCCCCGTGTTCCTCTTTCGCTCCTTTTGTGGCGGTGGCGCTCGGTGTCCTGGCTGGTTTCCCTGCTTCCCGCTCCCCCTTTTTGCCTCGCTTCTTCGCCTCCTTCTCTTGTGCGCTCCCGTCTCCTTCCGGCCTTTGCTTGCCCTGTCGCCCTCGGCCGTCTGTCCGTTGCCCCCCCTGGCCCTTTCCCCTTCTTCCTTCCTCCCTTTTCCTCCCTCCTCCGTGTCTTTCTGTCCGGTTGCTCCCCCCCCCTGTCCTCCCCCTCGCTTTGCGCTCTGGTTCCCTGCCTTCCCGTCGTTTTTCCCCCCGCGTTTTGTCCCCCTTCCTCGTTTCTCCCCTGCTGGCGCCGCTCCTGTGTCCGTCGTTCCTCCCCTGCCCGTGGGGCTTGTTTGCGCCCCTCGCGCGCTTTTCGCCGCTTCTCGCCCTCTGCTGGCTGCTCTGGCTCTTCCCCCCTTTCGGTTGCGCCCCCTCGCTCTCTTCCTGGCGCTCCCCTTCCGCCCGCTGTCTTGCCCTCCCTCTGCCCCCGTGTGCCTCCCCCCTGCCTGCGCCCGCCCCCCCCTTCTGCTTGCCTCGCGTCTCGCTCCCGGCGCCCCGTCTCCTCCTCGTCCCTTCCTTCTCTCTGCTGTCTCCCTTGCGCCCCTCCCCGCGCTTTGTTCCTTGCTCTCTTCCCCGCTTCCTCCGTTTTCTTTTTGCCGCTCCCCTTCGTTCCCTTCTGTTGCCCCCTCCGGTCTTGGCCCTCGCTCCCCGCCCTGCTTTCGCTCCCCCTGCTGTCGCTCCTCCTGCCTTGCCTTGCTCCCCCGCTCCTCCTGTCCCGCTTCTTTTCCCTTTCTTGGGTTCTCTCTTTGCGGTCTCGCCCGCCGCCCCGCTCTTTCTCTCCGCTTCTTTCTTCTTCTGCTCCTGGTCTTCCTCCCTCTGCTTGGCTCTCCCCTCCTGTTCTCTGCTGGCTGGCTTTTTCTGCGTTCTGGTGGGTTTGTCTTTCCCTGTCTCCTTCTGCGCGTCTGTCTCCTGTTCCGCCCTTTCTTGCTCTTCCTCTGCCGCTTCTTGTGGTTTGGGCTGCCTGTTGTCTCTCCGTCTTGTTCCCTGCGCGGCCGCTTCTGTCCTGCTCTGTCCCTGTTGTGTCTCCTGCTTCTTCTGGCCTGTCCTCTCTCCCCCCTTTCCTGCTTCCCTCCCCGCTTGCGTTCTCTTGTTGTCGCCTCTGTCGGCCCGCCTGTTTGGCGCGTCTCCCCGGCCGCTGCTCTCCTCCCTCTTCGGTTCCCCTTCCCTCTTTGTTCTCTCTCCGCCCGCCCCTCCCCTTTGTCCCCCCCCCTGCCCTCCTTCCGCGTTTGGCTTCTTTCCCTTCCCGCTCTCCTCTGGTGTTTTGGTCGTTCCTGGTCTCCGCTCGCCCTCTTTCCTGTCTGCCCGGCTGTGTGTCCTGCTTCCGCCCCGCCGCGTTGTGGCCGCTGCGCGGCCTGTCGCCTCCCTCTCGCCCTTTCTTGTCCCGGTTCGCTTCTTTCTTTCCCCCTCCCCCTTCTGTTGCGCCGTTCTCGGCGCTGCGCCCTCCTGTGCTCTCCCTTGCTCGGCGCCGCCCTCTGCCTCTCGTGCGTTTCTCCCCTTCTTTCCCTGCTCCCTTCTCCGTCTCTGCCCTTTTTCTTCTCGGCTCGTTCTTTTCCTTTCTGCCCCCTTCTGCCCCGCGTTTCCCGGCCTTGCCGCTTCCTGTCTTTTTCTCTTCGCGCCGTCTCCCCCGCTGTCTCGCGCGCCCTCCTCTCCCCCCCCCCTCTGTCTTTCTTTCCCCCCTGCTTTCCGTCTGTGTTGGCCCCTGCGGTCTCTGTGCCCCGCTCTCGGCCCTTCTCCGTCGGTGCTCCCTCTTCCTGCTTTGTGTGGCGTTCTTCTTTGTTTCCCCTGGCCCCTGCCCCCCCCTTCTTCTCTGCTCTCTTCTGCTCTTCGGTCCCCCTCTCCCCGCTTCCCGTTTGCTCCGCTTCTCCCTCTCTCTGCCGTTTCTGTGCCCCCGTCGTCTCTGCCCGCGTTTTGCTTCCTCCGCTTTGCTCGGTGCCCGCCTTTTCCTTTCGTCCCCCCCTCCCCGTTGTCCTGCGGCTCGTGTTCCTTCCCTGCCCCGTTGCTCTGCTTTGTCCCTGCCTCTGCCGCCGTTCCGCTCGCCGCCCCCTTCCCGTTTTGCTCCCCCCCTGCCTGCTGCTCCTCCGCTTTGCTTTCCGCCCCCTGCCTCCCGCCTTCTTCTCCTGCGGTCCCCTGGTCCCTTTCGGGTCCCTTTTCCCCCTCTTTTCCCTTTTTGTCCCTCTCCCTCTGTTCCGCTCCCCTGCTCGGTTGCCCCGCCCTCCGCCCTTCCCTTTCCTGTCCTCTGTCTGGCCCCCCCCTGTCGCCTCCCCTCTCGCTTCCGTTGTCGCGCCGTCCGCCCTCTCGTGGGGTCGCCTCTCCTTCTGCCTTCCTGCCCCCCCCTTGTCTCGTGCCCGGTGTCCTCGTCTTGTTCTGCTCTTTTTCCTTCCTTTGGTCTCTGTCGCCCGCCTCCCCCTCCGGTTCGCGTGTGCCCTTTTGTTTGCCCGTCGTGCCCCTGGGGCGTGTCCTCTTTCCCTTTG